CACAGGCCTGGACCTTCCCTAGAGCCTGGGGCCTGGTCCTCTTCCCTTGGTGAAGACTGGGAAGGCGAGTCCCTTTGGAAAGCAGATACAAAGCAAACGGGGGTGGGGGTGGGCGAAAGGGTGGCGGGAGTGCCATCAGCTCTAAAGTCGTAGGTGGCCACTCCCCCAAAGCCCAAGCTACTCCTAGGCTGTTGTGGGCACCAGGGGCCTCAGCTCACACCTGCTCCGCCCCAGAGGGCACCCCTTCCAGCACTCAGGAGTGACATCCCCACTGATGTGTCGTGTCAGAGTCCCTAGGGGCGTCTGGAGCTGGTGCGTATCCCTTACTATAGCAGCGGTCAGCCACATCATGTCAGTAACTTGAAATCACCGACGGGCGCTGCGTTTACACCACAGCCCCAGGCACGTGCTGTGAACCGGGCTTAGTTGTTACACGTTTACCAGCACACCCCTGGGGCCCTGCTCCTTTGAGACTCATCATCCAGGTAGGCCCCTCCACCTCCCTCACATCCTCACCTACCAGCCTCTCCTACCTCATTCTCTGCCAACCGTGGTGCTAGCTCACAGCTCCTCACCCAGTTTCTGTCACCATTCAAGGTCCACAGCCTCCTCCTGGCCTCCTTGGCTTACCTGCCTACACTCGACGTCTTCGGCAGCCTGGCTTAACTGCTTCCTATGTCAGCAGGCCAATGCCAGTGAGGCCTGGGAAGTCATGGTGGGCCCAGCCGTAGCAGCATTCTGTGCACTGCTGGGCTTGCCCAGCCCCTGCCCTTCCCCCTGGACCTGGCCTGTTTCCTTTAGCTGCACTTGGGCTCCCCTGGGCGCGTGACTCAGTCTCCCGATGTGGGGTGGCTCCTGCCCATTTTCTAGGGGTTACGGCCATGGTGTTTTGGCCACCATTTTCTGGATGAGGAACTAGAGACCCGAGAAGCCCTTGCTTGGGGTCCTGTACTAATTCAGCTGCAGGTAGTCACTGATTGCGTCTGGGTCTGGAGGAGCTGAGGAGGGCAGGCATCAGCTATTCCATCCCGGTCAGCGAGTACTGGCCAGGTAGCCAAAAGCAGGCAGAGGCTGCCACCCTCTGGCTATCAGCGGTAAAGCCCCGGGCTGGTGGTTCCGGGGCTGGGACTGCCCAGGGACCCCAGCTGCAGGGTAGGAAACCACTTTCAGGAGCTTCCCTGGCTCAGCCTCCCAGGACCTGCTGCAGAAGGAGTGACGGGCATCCTGTGTGTTTGGATTTGAACCCAGACTCCTGCCTCTGGCTCCGTAACAGTTTTGCTCTGACCATCTCAGCCACCCCTTTCTTTCCTGTGACTAGTTCTCCATGTTCCCCTGTTCTAACACTGTGGAACTGGCAATGAAAAAAGAAAATCATCTCCTAATTGGGCCTGAGTTCCATCCTTAGTCTGCAACCTGCTGGCTGAGTGACTATGGAGAAGTCACTGCCTCCCTTCGGGTCCATTTCCTTCTGCGTGAAATCTATTTTTTGTATTTGTTTTATAATATGTATATGTATGTATTAGCACAGTAGTACTTACACACGATTTATAAATATTATGCTCACATGGGGGCACATGGTGAAAA